CGCGTCAATTAAACTTTCACAGAAATAATAACATTGACGAAATAAGATATTGAAAATAGTTTAAAGTCTTCATATATTTACTATAAATAACTATCTAAAAATTTTTCAAAGTTTCCAAAGAATATTAAAATTGCAAAATTCAAGCAAACGTTAAATACAAAGAAACATTACTATTTATAAATATATAAATATATGACGTACTATGTTTAATTCATTCTAACTTTCAATATATGAGAAATCTTTAGATAACTGTTAAGTAAGAAAACAAAAACTCGAAATGACAAATCATTATCTTTTATGTATGAACAGTTGAGATGAAGTATTAAGATAACCGATTTTTCGTTACAATATATCACAGAAAATCCCGCAAATGTTAAATGTTACTTTACGGTATATTACATGTCGTACCGAGTAAAAATTTCATAACGCGTAATGGAGAGCGCTCGTAAATATTTATCTTTTTCTAACTTGGTGCTATGTTAAGTTTTTCGCGAGGAACGCAACAAAATCCGCGAAACGTTGGGTAACCCTTGACGTTACTCAGAAATGCAGCAAGAGTTCTCGGGGGTTTCTGATTATAATGCTCAGTGACCAGAAGTAATCTCATTAACCATGTCGTAAACTCATCTAGCAATTCGCAAAGAATTTTTGCCTAAAATACGTACTTACGCATGCATAATCCTGCAAGCTGCTTTAAAAATTTACGGTTACATAATTTTTAAAAAAGTTTTCATCGTCGAAATTAAGTTTACTAAAAACTAAAGTAAAAATGTGTATTTCTTATATCAATATATACGATCGTACATCTGCAAATCGTCCCAGAAACAACATAGATCAAATTTTAACTATAGATTCTCTGATCAATTCTGAATTAGTTTTTATAGCCATAAAGATATCAAGACATTAATCATTTCAAAGTTATAAGCAACTAATCATAGTGTCCGCGTTGTCCATTGCTTTAAAAATTGATTAATCGCACACAGAAGAAGCGCCTGCCAAGACTTTGAAGAGATACATTAACCTCGCGGACATTTCACGCTACACAGAATGTAGTAATGACAAAATCAGCCGTATCTTACGATCCGGAGCAAAACATTAGCGAGCGGCGGGGATTCACGAACCGCGCGCCATATGGTGGAAATTCGCTGGGATCCGCGAAATTAGCCGCAGATACCCGGAATTGCATAAGCGTCCTCGCAAAAACTCAGAATCCGCGAGAAGGATGACTCGCGTGAGCGTGAGGCGGCGGAATTATAACGACAGATTTGCAAGTGGACGACGGTATGCAACTACGCCAGGAGCGGACAATGATTTTTCGAGAGCCGGTAAATCTTGAAAGCACACAGCAGTAGCATAATTAAACAAGCGCGCGCTAAAGAGAATGATTTCCCCTTTGCGCGCAATACATAATTTAAAAAACTGATGAATATTTCCGAACTTTCGAATTTGCGAAGTAATCAAGAACGAACGAATAAGTTTCAAAGATTAAAGCTAATAATTCTCCGACATACTTAGGGAGAATATGATTAAAGGAAATGTTAAAGAAAACGTGTCTCTTCTTATTTTATGCAATTTGTCGCTTCAAAAATTCACAAATATTTGCCCGTACGAAATTATACTCCGCTAGGTCCTTCGATAACTGCGGGTCTTAAGTTTCCCCCTCGAGGCTTAAGTTTCACCAGCTTCCACATAGATCCGTCCCTGTAACTACCAACGCTGTAACTGCGGAACACGCGAGAAAGAGATACAGGGGCAGCAAAGTGAGAGAAAGATGAAGAGAAAGGCAGAATGGGATAGAAGGGGGAGAGAGGGGTGGAATAGTGAGAAAAGAGAGGAGAAGCGGGTAGTAAGGCTCTTGCAAAACATACGCGGCTGAATCTGACACATCCTCTGGCAGTCTGTTGGGTTTTCCAGGATGGCGAGGGGGCGTACAAATCTAGACGGTTACTTACTGACACACACAGCATTTTGCTGTCGTGCCGAACTTTCTCTCGCTTGCACCCGCGACCGCGAGCGCGAGCTCATCGCCGGCTCTCTCTCTCCGGCTCACTGCCTCTCATCTCCACCCTCTCGACAGTATTGTATTGTATTAAAGCCGCGGCTCGTGTTGCGGCTTGACAAAAGCAGGCGCGCGACCTACCCCGGCCGCGCCTCTCTCAGCCTCCTCTCTCTCCTATCATCCCTTCTTCTCTCCCCCGCCCCTCTCCGCCGTGTAATTCCCTCGCTTCACGCACCCCGCCGTGCTACGGAGTCCAGAACACGCTATATTATTCACGGAGTAATTTAAACCGTAAATGACAGATATTATAAGTGTCTCTTAGTCTATCCGATTGACCATCCAGTCGGATTTGACTCTTGTCATCTTTGTTATTCGTGACAGCCACAATAAGCGGATTAATGCTCCCACAAAACCAATGTAAAAACAAATGAGTTTTCCGTTATCGACAGATCAGTTAAATATAAATTAATTAATATGCAGATAATGTTTTACAAAATATTTTAATGTGTATTACTGTACGTATTTATATTGCACATATCTACTGGTGACACTAGTACGAAAAATTATTTTAACCGTACTGCCGTATTAGGAAAAATATTTATCCCACGGATGCTTTAATATTTCTGTCATCAAAACATTTTCATTTACGTAAAATTATATATTTAAATACAATAAAACATTCAACAATAGCTGATGATAATAATGTAAGCGACATAATAAATTATACGTTTCAACTAAGATTAATTCAGTGAACATATTTTTAATTATGTCGTATCAACGTAACAAGTTTTTTTAAGTCTCAATTTATTATCATTTTAATTACTTGAATAACATTTTTTTTCTTAAGTGTTTTTTTCAAAGATAGTCTTATTAGAAAAAACACTTTAAAGAAGGAAATTAGGAATAAAAATAATTATATTAATCCTCTTAAATAACTTATGATTTCATCGATCGCATATTAATGAATAGTTAAAAGTATCCATTTTTTTGCCGGATGGTTTACCAAACTTAGTTCCTAGTCATCTTTCTCATTCCTATCCTGTCGTCAAGTTTCAAGATGAACCTCGACCGCGATTCCATCAAAAGTGCTTTCAACCCTTATCAGACGCATCTGACTCTGACACGTGATTCGAATTTGCCGCCTATCTGCAGTGTCAGCAGAGCTCTTTAAAGTTATGATGTAGCTCTATTAGATTCACGAAATCGCTTCAGGAAATATGCAAAACTTCACGATAATAATATTCTTGAACGTGAAACTAATAACGCATAATGAAATACATTTATGCAGCTCCAACAGACATTTTGGAAAAAGTTCCGCGTTTGGAGTCTTTAATCTACTAATTATTAAAATTGTAAAACAAATTTTCACAAATTCTTTTATTAAAAAGAATATACTTCGAAAATCGATACAATTTTGTTGAAAATCTCGAACATACGTGTTAATGCAAAATGTGAAACCAGTCAAGGTGTGTAATACGAAAGCATAGCTACAGCGGATATTTTCAAAAGAAACGCTTACTGAAAATTATTCTTAGCAAATATCGTACGCAGAAAGCGTAACCTAGCTTGAAAGGCAACTTTTCGTGACTTTTCTGGTAGACAACATCCATGATGCACTGTTCTTAGCCTTTACACCAGGGCGACGCGCACAGCGGCCCGAATTAACGAGAGGCTTTTCGTATCTCGGCGTTATTACAGCTCTAAGTAATGCGCCGTGCTTAAACCCGTATTTACGACAGCCATGCAAAAACCTTTTGTCTTCGGGCCGGCACATTTCTCTTCTCCGATCGATAACGCAACGTCAGAAATTTTTAATTTATGTCACACCGCAACCGCACAGGCACGAGCGACCGCGTGAGATTTTATTTGCCCTATAAAACCGCACTATTGTAAAAAAAAAAGAAAAAGCTCGAGAATTTTCTTGTTCGATCGTGTTCAGGAATTTATTTAAAAAAATATACCTCGCACTTAAATCTTCATAAATGAATAAAGATTGTCGCGCAATAATGTGCTCTTAAAAAATAAAATATGATTGCTTTTCCGTTTTTATTATTTATCGCTACACTGACTCCAATGTTGAACGTTAATATATTTTAACTAATTCCAAAATTTAACTTTATCTAAACTCCTATTGAACCTATGCTATTAATTAGCAATTAATGTGTAATAGGAAATATCGTGGCAAAAAGAGGTTATAGATTTCGCGGCAAGAGAAAGTATCAATTAAGCCATCGTAATTCTTTACGAGCAAATAAAATTTTTCTAAAGGCGAAATTCTCTTTCAAGATAGGACACCGATATTTCTTCGTTTCCACCAACAGCGTTATCTTTTACGCTCAACCTAAGTCCTTTTCTCCTCGTAATGAGAAGAGGAAGGGCGACTCATATGTCGAAGGTAATGGTGCGTCAGTGAGTGATTTGTCTCCACCTACCCGTTTTTCTGTGCGTCTTTATATTTTTTCGCTTGCTGCTCTTCTTATCTCGCGTGTAATATTTGAATATTTTCTCTCTAAAATATTTTACCTCTGAAATAGAAGTGCATAGAATATTAATGCAATATACGTCATAATTGTGTGTGTCAATCTCACACAAACACCAAGATAATCTGTATGTCTAATAATAAATCTTATTAAATTTAAAACTAAGAAATGTGATAAAATGTTTAATTCATATAATATTGACTTTTCTACAGTTAAATAAAAATTCTTCAATTTCTAATTATATGTATAAATTATTTATAAACCTTGGTTATTTTAACATGCATTAATATTTTCTTTTATAATATCTTGTGCTCTTTCCTATTCTATTCTCTACCGACATATCGTGAAGTAAATATTTCCTAACAGCACTTACGATTGATAAAGTTAATGTTATGGCGCTCAATTAAAAGATAAAAGTAGATTCGTGGAAGTATATCGCTCTTGCGTGAATGATATCTTTGTATTCCCGACGAAATATAAAAATAGGGTCCGCGCATCGCGCACACACCAGACCTGAATTATTTCTCCCGCAAAGCTGAGTGAGAAGCACCCGACCAATGGACAACCTGTTCATTTATTTACTGTGGCCCCAAGCAAACTGATCGTGGAACACGTACTGAATATTTCACATGGACGGCCTCGTCTTTTTTCTGTCGCTCGGGTTCTTTTTAAATATTCCTACATCCCGGTAGCCTCGATTCTTTCCTGAAAGATTGAACGGCCGTTTCGCGTTCACGAACGAAAGTGTTCTGTGTCCAAGATGCGCATCGCGACGCCCGTATTGCTATCAATTTCGCTATTCCACGCCTTCCAACACATCCGCGGATACAGCATTCTGGGCATTTGTCCGAGCGCGAGTTACAGCCACCAACAACCGTTTCAAGCATTGATGAAAGCATTGGCGGTTCGTGGTCACAACGTTACCGTCGTATCAACAATTCCCTTGAAGGTATGTACATCTTTATTTTCTTATACTTTCTCCTTTAGCTTTTTATCTTTACTGCAAACTGCAATTAAATTGCAGTCGTATATTATATAATGACACTCATAATTAATTAAAAATTACCATATATAAATGAGAAGTATTAAAAATCGTAAACATTGTTTATCGAACTTTTTGCGAAACAACTTTTATCTAAAATTTAAATCAAAAGACATTTAATTATGTTCTACGAGACTTGCTATTCCAAAAAAATCTTTATTGCCCACCCGAATATCATTGTAATTTGACATTTCCCTATCGTCGCTTACAAAAATTGTTGCCGACAAAGCCGCGTTGTAATTATTGAGAAATCAAAGCGTTACATTGTTCTCGAAAGTACACAGTTATTTTCGAATCTCAATTGAACCTTTGCGGCTTTAATTGTATTTTGGATATTTTTTTGGTCGGTCAACAGTCCATTTAGACATAATCGAATTGAATCACGGCTAAATCTGCACACGTTAACTACGCAATTTTTCATTCTCAATATGAATTATTATCGAAAATAAACTTTAATGACAAATAAACAAATAGAAAATATTATAAATTAGCAGACAGATATTTGACGCAATATTCTTCTTTCCGTTCTTTTTTATTACACCTTCTTTATTTCTAGTTTTTTCTCCGGAATCCTTCTCTCAAGTCCTCTCAGAGCTTTCCTCTGACCTCTCACTCCTTTTCTATATCTGCCGTCTCGTGTACTCCTCCCCTCCTCCTATCCCTTCTTACTCTCTTTCTCACTCTCTCTTTCTCTCTCTTTCTAAACTTGAGTTCAAAGTTACGCAAACTTCGTTTAGCTTCAATTTACTTCTACTAACATTTCTCTTTGCTGAATGTGTCTTCTCACGGCTTGATGGTTCTGTTTCTTTCGCGGCAAAATTAGGAATTAAATTGTTCACGTAAACTGGATAAAACCTAACTAACGAAAGCATAATTGCCTTGTACACAGACTGTCGCGGTGCATTATTACTTTTCCTTACTAAATTCATAACAATTGCTGATCCATCTTCTACATATATTTCTTATCGATTTTCGTAAGATTCAAAAATAAACTGTTTTACTCAACTAACCATGCTCTTACTCCACTTTTACACTAAACAAATGACACTTAGAAATGCGCCTAAATATTTCGTATAACGTCTATATAAGGCTCTTAGATTTTTTTATATAAGATTAATATTTTTTTGTTAATTCTCTTCCCTCCGTAGAATCCTCCAACGAATTATGAGAACGTTGACTTATCATTCTCGTATCGAAAGAAGGATTGCACAGGATTAAGGTATGGACGCTTCACATCTATCATGTTTCGAGCAAATCAATATATAAGTGGATTTCTTCCAACCTAGCAGATTAATAATCTTGAGCTTTATTTTTGACAGACATTTAGGAGCTTATACGTTACTCCATAAAAACATGTGGGAAGCGAATGAATTGTGCGAGCAGCAATTATTCAGCTCTGCCATCGACAAGCTTATAGCGTAAGACAGGCGATGCTCGATCAAAATTCGTAAAGTTCAGCAATCTTTATTTTTACTCCAATTATTTCATCAATATAACTGTGCGCATAGTATTGGGAAATCTATTCACAGAACGTTAAATGAATCAAGGCATTGGTGAACTTTATAAATTACCTATACGTTTCCATTTCAACACAGGCGAAACACACAGGCAAAAGTCACGACGGCTAATAATCTTACGACTTTTCCGCGAAAACGAATCTAGTTCGCGTTTGCTTGCAGGAGCAACAAGACATTCGACGCAGTCATTATAGAGCAATTATGGTTCCAGTGTTATTATGCTCTCGTGAAGCACTACAACTTCCCGGTGCTGATGGGATTTTTGAGCGTAGGCAACTTGCCGTACGTAATGGATTCCGTGGGTGAGCATGATGTCGTGCATGCCGAAGAGGTCACGGCGATTTCGTCGGGAGTTTTATTGTTTGCGAAAGTCGCCCGACCCGAGCAACAACTCGGGAATACGAGCCCGGTCGGATGGTCGTTCCGCGACGTCTTTTTCTACTTGAATTCGCACCCTTCCCCGGGTGGCACCGACGACGAACGTCGTTACCGCGCTCGGAAATTGACGTAAATTGTCGGTAAAGCAGAAAGTGCGAGCAATCGGAGACCGGGTCTTCGTGGAAAAGGATAGATTACTCGGTAGTGCTTTAACTTGTACCGGTCTGACCCGACGGAGCGGCGGAGAAAAGGTGGCGAGGGACGACGCGCCAGCTCGCCGCCATTCGATTCCTTTACCTCGACGTAATTGAAGATACCCGAAAGTACTCTTCCGGATGAACGTAATAGACCGTGAAATGGATCGCCGTGGCTGCTACTGAAATATTTCAATTAAAGCCGAGCGAGTTTTGAGAAAGCGGACGCGTATCGAAGTAGTAACGTTCCCTATTGAGCCGGCGCAATCAGCGGAGTTTACGAAGAAACAAATACCTCCGTCGGTTCTAACACATCGAATTCCAATCTCTATTTCTATTTCCTGATTTGAGAAAAAGCTTATCGTATAATAACTTTTATTATCCGGACAAAAGCTATAAAAAGGAAGCAATTCTAAATTTCAAAAAAATGCGTCGAACAATTTATAATATTTCATAAACATTCGAAAAATCTATAAGTATTTAAAACTTATACTTGATAATTAAATATACGTTTTTTTTTTTATATCAACGAATGTCGTTTGATATCTGTTACGCACGTTTTATGTTTTATTCGAAAAATACTACTATTGATTATATGGAGTTTGACAGGGAATCCAGATGATCCCAATCTAAATCCGGACATGGCGTACCCATTCACGGACAGAATGACAATCAACGAGCGTATATGGAATACCCTTTATACAACGTGGACAAGATTATATTACCGATACTGGCATCTGCCAAGAGCTCAACGCATCGCTAATGTATGGGCGCCCGGTACATCCGTCTATGATATCGATAAGAACTTCAGTCTGGTGATACTAGGCAACAATCACGTGTTCGGTTACCCAAAACCATTACTGCCACACGTGATCGAAGTTCATAGCTTACAAATTTCGAACAAGCCTGAACTCCTACCTAAGGTAAAAGATAATACAATATATTTGAGAAAAGATTTATCGCGCGTAACACGTACGGTGCTTAAAAAACAAAAAAAGATAACAGAAAAAAGGCTATAAATTAAAAGCACGGATGTCGAGACGTAATATTATTACAAAGTAAAACAGAGTAAAAATAATCTTTTTTACTGTTTTAATTTGTAATATCTGTCGCGACTCAACATCCGCGCTTTTCGTTTATAATATCTATTATCGTAAAAAATGCATAAATAGCTATGACATCGCAGAGAAAAATTTTTTAATTAATCAGGATTGAAAATGGAACCGAAACTAATAAATAATTTTTTTCAATATTAACTAATATTTGAATTTAGTTACTGAGACGCAAAATTACTTCCATGTAAAAATGCGATAAATTCCGTTTTATGATCTTTCAAATAGAAAATCTTGAGCTTTATGTTAACAGTTATCTTTTATGTTAATATTTCCGCTTCATGCCTCAACTTTATTCTCGCGCATTTACAGAAAAAGTAAGTTACAATGTAATATAAAGTAGAGTCGAACAATTTATCGAGTTGAACAGAGCGACATTTAATATCTCCTATCTGAAAGTTGATATTTTTGCGTCGATTAAACCTTCGCTTCTCGCAGTTCTAAGTGTATCTAGGAAAGGCGAAATTGTGTGTCGTACGAGAATGATTTCTCCCGGGAAAATACACATACCATTCTCACAGGTGACCAGTAATAGTCAGTTGGTGGAAGTTTACCAACGACTCAGCGCAGCGACGTAAAGGTAAACGTCATTGCTATTTACCGCGAATCGTTGTAAGTCTCCCAAGAGGACCAACAAGAAAAATATTATTGGAAGAGTATTTCGTTGAAGATCCTTCATATAAAACACAGGAAAAACATCATCGCTTCTACATTACAATAGCCGTTTGTGTCATTCGACATCAATCTCGAGATATCAAAAAGATTCGTTTACAGCAGTTATTTAAAAACTAGTAAAACTGTGTGAGCTATAATGATTTAATAATAAAATAATAGCTATTCAATTGTCAAAAATATATTTTTTTAAATATGAAATTTACTAAAACATTAGCTACATATTAATAATTTGTATCTTGAGACTCAAGAGAGTGATAAATTTATAAAAACTGTAGTTCATTAGAAGACACGGACAATTAAACATTTTACAATCGTTCTTTGGTTCTAGTAGAGTTAAAGTTATCAGATTACCATTACGAAGGCAATGCGCAACAGAAGGTAACTGCAGTTATCACGTGATTCCGAACGATGTCGAGATGCGGAACGTGACCAGCAGCAATGTATGCTCGTCTTTATATACACATACACTTGAATGTATCGAAATCCATGAACAGTTGTAATTAATAGGACAAAGCCTTCGGCTACACATTGTGCATATGAAACTACTATCGACGTGTCTGCCATAAAAGCCGGTACAGGTTTCGCAATTAACAAAGGAAGTTGTATTATCAGTAATATCAATCGCATTAATAGCACAATCGGTTCCATTTGCGTCCTGTCGTAGCACTTGCTAACGTAATTTTACGGATACGAAGGAGATACATCGCGAATAGATGTACTTTATAAAACCATTATAACAAATTGTACTCGATTATTGCAAATCTAACGAAATGTAGATCTAATTTACTGATATAAGCTGCGCCTCGCGCATTATATTTTGTTTGTCTCTATTCGTGTTGATTGAAAATGGCAGAATAGTCGTAAGAAAAAGAATTAATCACATCAGATTATTCCAATTTAAACACGCGCAACGTAATAAATTATTGGTGATCTTTCTTAAGCGTCGCGCATTAAATACAATAAATTTTAGGCGAAATGCCATACTTCCCGGGCCTCATTAAGACGCATCGAAATTTCCTTCTTATCCCAGGAGATCCGAGAGTTCCTGGACAACGCTCAGGATGGCGCCATTTATTTCTCTCTGGGCTCGAATCTGCAAACTCACCAGCTACCCGCCGGGACTTTGACCGCATTGTGCAACGCCCTGGGCTCGCTGAAGCAAAGAGTTCTATGGAAACATGACGGAAACATGGCCATTCATCCGGCCAACATCAAATTTGTGAAGTGGGTGCCCCAGCAAGCGGTCCTTGGTAAGGCTGCCCAAGGCTAAACTGACCACCTCTTTACCTCGTTCGAAAGGAGCGGATCAATCGCCGCGAAATATGCACTTACAAAGCGGTTCGATGAAAAACATTTTGTACCGGAATTCCTTTGTGCGCGAAGATATAAGAGATCGATGAGATTATGAAAAGAATAGATCGTACGAATTTACCTCAAATTTACTGTTACTTATTTCTCATTTCAATTTTATGTAGCCATCATTTTTATCGCATCTACTACATTCGGCTTTAATTTTAATAATTTACACTTTGTCGAATTTAGTACCACTTTTTTTCGAAAAGAAAATTTCGAGAAACATTATTAATTGTTGCAATATTGATATTTAACGTTATTGTGATAATTAAATTAACATTCCAAAGCAGTAAATTTAAAGTAAAAAGAATGAGGATTTATTATATATTCAATTATCTCGCGCGCAAATTCTCAATCGTTAATAACTCAGAAATATAATTCGTAACATTTTAGTTATAGCGAAGTCAACTAAAATAAACTAAAGTATCCACTGTTAAAATTGAAACCGGGAATTATAAACTCTACACATTTCACTCGTTTCAAACAAAATTTAAAAATTCAGTAATTGTATAAATAGAAATCACTTAGACAACCTTACAAACTTACTGAAATGTAGCGAAACTTTTTTAACACGAAATGCAAAATTCCAACTTAATTGTACGATAACGATCTCGTAAGAACCGCGCGTGTATTGCTGAAGTACTAGAGTACTCGTTCGCTATTACTAAAAGCAAGTTAGAGAACTTATACTTGGACCGTTAACGATTACCTTCTTATTTTGTTAACGCATACAATCGCTCGATTCTTCGTGGATTCGTTAAGCAGAATTCAGAACAACAAAGAAAAGAACGACGACGGAAACGACGACGACGACGACGACGACGACGACGAGGACGAAAACGGGGTCGACGGCGATAGCGGCAAGAACGACATACCGACCTTTGCGCACGGATATCTAACAAACTTGCGTCTTCGACTTAGATGCCGCTTTCATCTACAAAAGACATTAATCTTCCTCTACTAAGCGTAACATTCTTTAGATGCAATCTTCTGCATGGCCCGGAGTCTTTAAACGATTCGAACTTAATTACACAGCTGAATCGCGACCGTGCTATGTTCCGGGGCGCCACCAAAGACGAAACAAGTTTCCCTTTATATCGGGAAACACGTGGCTGCATTTCAGCCAAACAAAGTCTCGGCGATCGGCACACCATCACCGCCGCGTTTCGAAATGATCATCAAAGCCGTCTCCCGATCGAGATCGCGTTACTCTGATGTTTGAATACGAGCAACGTTTGCCTTCCTTTATCGCTGCACATCAAAGAGAAAAGTAACGTTGAATATAAGAAAGGCCGATGCACACGTCGATACCAGGCAACTCTCGTCTTTGGTAAAACCCGTTATTTTTGTAGAAGCCGCTTAAGGGTAAGTATTGAAACGAAAAAAAGCCGCCAGCAACACCGTCGCGACCAAGGAAAATACGACCACGGGTTCGTACAGCGGAACGAAGCGAAACGATAACTCATGACGCATGCGGCGGTGAAATTCTCGCGGGAAATTCTGACAAACAACTCCTGTTGGCAGTAACGCAACGGACTCGATGCAAATGCACAAACATGCACAAAGTTTTGTGCACATTGATAGACAGGCAGCGGTTGCCTGCACGAAGAACGTATTAATGTTGGAAATACAGATCGGTGACTGGAAGAAATGACGCAATTAATCGGAACTTCGGGATTTCCGATGTACAGCGGCATTTATTATACTTTTCGAGTCACGCGCATGTTCGAGATTTCGACACCTATTCTTCCCTATATTCCATTTTCATACGTGATATCGCGGAAATCTGAAATTTAATTTCAAGAACGGATTTCTTGTCAGATCTGAAATCAAATTTAGAAAACTTCAACTTACATGAAAAATAAGATTTTCTTATTTGATTTAGACCCCAAATAGTTTTATAAAAACTTCGAAAACCTTTATTTTAACTTGAAAACGTTTCCGAAATGATAAAATTAAAATTAAAAATGTTGAAAGAAGCGAATTATAACTGTTGCACAAATTTCTCTCAGGTTGAAAATGTAAATCATGTTTTTTCCAATTGGGAAGTATATCGCGTAACGTATAATGAAAAAATTTCGCTCGGGTGTTCGCGGCTGTAAAAAAAAGCACATCGGACAGAATTTCGTCGGAAAATTCTGTGCGCGTTGATACTCGAACGCGATCAATCGGCCGTAAAGAGTGACGCTGAAAAATAAATACGACAATGCGGACATTTTTATGAAATCTCGCATCGCATCTCTCGGCTGCTCGTGATCAGTACTGGAACTTCGTTTTAACTCTCGTCGCTATTTTTTTTCTTTTTCCTCTCTTTTTTTTTTGACGCGTTTTTGTCCACTATCCTGCACACGTCGCACCAATCCCATGCGCGGAAGCAAATAATCCGTAAAGCATCATTTTACGGTACTTTATGTACTTACGCCGCTTTTATATATGCAGCGCATCCCAGGATGATGGCGTACGTGATGCAAGGCGGATTGCAGTCGTTGCAGGAAGCGGTGCACCATTCCGTGCCGGTAGTCGCAATTCCCTTTTTCGGGGATCAACTTTTCAACGCACGTAAAATCCTAGACGCCGGCATCGGACTGACACTGGACATCGACACCATGACCGAGAGCTTCATCGTACAAACGCTCGCAGAGGTCGTCGAAAATAAAACGTAAGCACGACGCGACTCTAACACAGACTCCCGCTTGTGATCTTTCACAATCTGACTTTTCAAAAATTAATCCTGATGGCACTTTGTCATTTCGATTGCTTTTTTTCCACTGTATGCATTTATAGAAAATGCGTCTAAAAAGTCAAATAATTTATGAACTCTTTAATCTCTGCACGCTTGTCTCTCGAATCCTTTTGCACAATCAATCATGTTATAATTCTGAATTATTAATCCTAAACCCTTTTAATTTCCTAATAATTATATAATAACATAATTTTACAAATTATACACAAATTTAAAATGCTAATTGTAAGTAAAACTAATGCATGCGATTAATCAATTGTGATTCTTGAATAAATTACCAAGTTTGGACATTAAAATTCTGTTTAAAAGGAAATGCAATTGATGCTCAATATATTGGAAAAAATTTTAATTGTAGGTATCTGAATAATATCAAAATAATGTCGGCGATTGTGCGCGACGAATTGATAAAACCTATGGAGAGAGCGATATGGAATATAGAACACGTATTAAAATTTCCAAACTCGAGACATTTACGGTATCATGGACGTAATATATCATGGATAGATTATTATACAACGTTTCTGTGCTTAAGTGCATGTATCATTTTTTTATCGTATATCAATTATGTATTGTGTAGCAGAGCTATTGATGCTTTTATAAAAATCAAGAGGATATTAAAACAAAAGTT